TCTACAGGAGGAAGGCAGGTTTGGGCCGTGTGGACCAGGCAGCTTCAAGGCTCACAGCAGCCCTTTACAGAACATTCTGGAAGCAGCCAACTTTGTATAAAATCCAAGAGATACAGGGGGTTCCTTGGGGGCTCAGTCGTTAAACATCTGCCTTCGGCTCAGGTCATGATCCAAGTATCCTGGGTTCGAGCCCCGTGTTGGGCTCCCTGTTCAGCAGAAAGCCCGCTTCTCCGTCTCCAGCTCTCCCTGCTTGTGTTCCCTCTCTTACTATCTCTCTCTCTCTGTAATAAGTAAATAAAATCTTAAAACAAGAAAATCAAAGAGATACAGAAATACAAGCCTTATCCTGGGGTCAGTCAAAAAAGTAACCTAGTGTTTGTGTGATTGCTAAAGAGCCAGCTACAAATTGGGGGGAAATATGTAAACTTAATTTAGAATTAAGTACGAAATTCACCTATAACCACATTCCCAGAATTAGGCACAAATAATTGTTGGATTTCCTCCAGAGTTTGTATTTTATACCTCGCTTTATTATGTTAATACACATGGGATCTTAGGACCCAGGATTCAGCAGTTCATGGATTTCCCTTGAGAGATCTTACCCGTGTTTCTGTGTCTCCACGAATGAAGACCTTCTTTGCATAGGCAGTATATGGTCCAGCCAACAGAATTCACGCAGCATATCTTTTATTCATGAAAGCCCAGATTGCTGTCATCCCTTATTTTCAAAATTACGATCAATAAGTATTGATCTTTTGGTGCATGGCTACCTCTGGACAATCAAATCAAGATGTGTTTATTTTAATAGAAATAGACCTTCAGGGTCAAAGGGTCTTAGGGTTATCTTCATGGTATGGGCATGAGTTGGAAGCAGTCAGGATGGAGAAGTGCACAGGATGTCTTGTCTCGGGCACTGGGATGCAGACCCAGCAGAGAAACGAGGTTGGCTCGGAGGGGATCATGCCCCAGACATAATGGCCATGGCCAGAATTTCATCACCGTGAAACTTCTTAAACAAGAACCTTCACGTTTTGATCTCTACTGCGCAATACACACAACTGTGTGGATCATCTTGTATTTTGTTTCCAGAGTATGATTATGGTTTTAGGCTCTCCGTTAATACAACTAAAGCACTTTAAAAACACCTGTGCAGCCTTGTTCTCAACTGCAGTGCGGGACATAGAATATACTTTCTGGAACTAACATAAGGAATTCAGTTAACGACTTAACGGGCCCCGTGTTTGGAAACCTGTGCCATAGAAATCATCTGTCCTCATAATTATCTTCCATTTATTCTCTTGATGTTGGAAATGGGTTTTGACCCTGTATGACATTGATGTGGTAATCAAATGACTCCTGTCATTTGTAAGTAAACTAAAAACTACAAATAGAGACACTAAATTTTAAGAGCTTCCCCCCATTGGGCTTACAGAATTGGAGTATGTTCCTTTCCGTCCCTCCCATCCATAGGTCTAGACCCTTTCGTCAAATCATGCATGATTCCACCAAGAAAACTTAAGTTTCACATTGTAACAGAGGCACCCACTGAAGGAATTCCTGTAAACATCAGAGAAGATAGATTTGCATGCATTTCGCTGATTTTTGTCTTCATTCCTCTGCCTGAATTCTTATGACACATTTCTTTCTGGGCTCATTTATGTGACCTAAAATAAATTCCATCTCTTCTCATTGGAGAATTTTTATGCAAACATGCATACCAAATACAGTGCCTCGTTTCTACATGATGTAGAATTCCATTCAACAGGCAGGGGGATAATGGGATTTCTGGTGTTCAGGCATTTCTCGTGGACCATATTTCAAAGCAACCACTGGACAAGGGAGCCTGTCTCTTGGGTGAATGTATATTTTCTTGCTCCTTCCAGGGCTTTGAATGAAACTTGGTATCAATCTAGTATCAGCATGTCTCAGTTGGAGGGTCTGTTTTGTATCTTTCTCCCATTGTTGCATTGTTGGGGTGGGATCGGGGGAGCTGCCTGATTTACAACCTTCATTGCAGAGACCTTAAATCTCCAAAGCCAAGTGTTTCGTCAGCTGAAATGCTCCAAGGAGGTGTAGCCAAGAGTGCTTATCAGTGAAAGAAGCCATTTGTTTAAAATCTCTGCTTTTAGCCAGCCAAGGGGCTGCTTCTGTTCATTCATCTGCTGCATATATGGGGAATTAAGTCCTCCGCGGTGGGACAGACTTTTAAGGATGCTTCTACCTGCGCTCCGCTTTGGTGATGTGCCTGGCCGTTTCCAAATTGATTATCTGCTCTCACGTTCATAGAATTCCCCAGGAATAAATGCATATACATCTCCTATCTGCATTATATCAAACACCGCATTTCCACCGTCGGAGCAGCGAAGGAATACCCTCTTGCAGACAATATAAAATTGTTCCCATTCACTGCGTACCTGCAATGGAAACTCTGCCTTGTGGGTTGTTTAAATTACAAGAGAAGGGGGGGGGGGACAAAAGTCCCTGGGTGTTGCAGTAAATGAAGATTCTGTAAGCAAGAAACTATGGAAACACCAACTTCAAAAAAAAAAAAAAAAAGAACCACGTTCATTTGCTGAAGTTTAGAGACGCATGGAGGGCTGTTTCCCTCAGGACTTTTGGAAGGAATTCAGAATCGCAAAGATCCAGTCTTTCAATAGGAGACTGTTAGGAGAGCTCAGATTCACCAGGGTATAGAATATTAATTAGCCTGGCATTTGAGAGGTTACAACAGACACGTTTTTGCTCGGGAGGGGCTCCAAGTTAATAAAGGCAGGTGATTTACCGTATGTTGCAAATCCTTGCCGTGCTCCACGGGAACAAAATACGCAAATAAGTCATTCTGGGAGAGTTGACAAGGGGGTACGGCGGGGAGGGGGTGTGCGGAGAGAGGCAGCGGAGGAAGGATGTGTTAAAGACAGAGCAGTTCTGCCAAAAAATTACTAGAGCCTTTAGGAATTCATCACCTCTTTCCTTAATGGGGAAAGAGAGGCTTGTCTTATGGTTATTATACAGCACCCAAACTGCCATTAGGAGCCAGTCTCCTACATAAAGCTGCATGAAAAGGGGCTTTTCTCCCAAGCAGAGGGCAATGCATTTTATGAGAAACTGTGTAAAAGGTGGCGCGATGAATGCCAGAGCCAGGGAACATTCGCTGGCGTGAAACGCTAATTAGTAATTGCTAATTAAATGAGGGAGGGGCTGGTAACGTCGGAACGTTCCCACTCATCTCCACTAATCTCAGCTCCGTCCCTGTGAACGCCGCAGAAGCCTGGATCCGCGGGACGTGCCCTAAATGCACAACCTTGCAGGTTCCATCTTGCGTCTGTCTGCCCATAAAGGAGATGGCAAGGCCGATCGTGGCAATTTTAGAAGGTCTCCCCTCACCCCCTCCCCAAAAAAAAGCCTTCCCATTGCTTTATTTGAAACCGGACCCTTTCATTTCTGTTACTCGCCCAGCTCACACTGTGCATTTTTCTCAGGTGCCCAGGGAACCAAGAAGCCTCGCTTCCTCAGCGGGTCAAAGCCTTCGTCCTCTCCTTATTCTGTTTTAGGTTCTACAGGCCCACTCTTGAGAGTTCCTCAATTTGCTGTCAGCTTCGGGTGGGGGGTGGGGGGGCGGTTTGATGACCTCGGTTCTGACACCTGTTCTTTTAGGGCCCGAATCTGTCCAGGCTCCCATCAGCACTGCAGCAGGTGGTCACAGGAACTTAATCAGCACTAATTGGAATGAGGGGAATGGCTTGGCCCTTGGAAATGCAGGGGAAGAGGGAACGCGCATCATTGAGGGCTTGGGGGCAGGGGCACATAACACATTAGAATGCTTAAAACATAATTTTTATGACTTGCACTTTTGGGGGGGGTCAGAAGGCTTATGCAAGAAAGAAAGGGATATAAGTTGGGTTAATGTCCGTACAATAAATAACATTGGCAGGTGTTCACAGTCGTCGTTCTGAATTTCAGCAGGAGAGCGTCTGTGGACAAAACGACTTCAAACATCGGAGGGAAGCCTTTTTTCCAGGTCACGATCTTGGTGCCACGTGGAACAGGCAAGGAGTCCGACACCCATGTGGTCCTTTATTCCCGTCAATGCCTTTTTTTGCAGATTTTAAGGGGGAATTAAGAATTTGATGCCTTGAGTGAATCTAGCCCCTCAAGTTGCAGAATCTTCCTTCTTCTTGAAATAAAACGTACCAGCTCGTCCCGTTTTAGGGACAGTCGGGGGGATTTGAATATATGTGTTGTCATTTAGGTAAGATTAAAGACTTGTGTGTTTCTGCTTGTGAGGCTAAATTTTTTTCTGTACGGGGAAGATACAGGAGCACGTTAACTAAGACTGGGACCTCATGATACCTGTCGTTCACTCGAAACTGAAGCATTAAAAGGAATGAAATGAAAACATTAATAAGAAATTAAATGGGAAAAAGCTGACCTATGTTGCTTTTATTGACAAGCTCAGTCTCTTAAACATCAACACAGAAATTCCAGCAGCCCAACACATATGCTGATTTTTCCTAAAAAACCTCTTTTAGCCTGGAAAACTTCTTTTAGGACTTTCCCTGAAAAACTCCTTTTCCCTGAAGTTTAGAGATGCATGGAGGGCTGTTTCCCTCAGGACTTTTGGAAGGAATTCAGAATCGCAAAGATCCAGTCTTTCAATAAAACTCCTTTTAGGAGACTTTCTCACTTTTGCAACCTGCATGTGCACAGGAGTGATAAGTTGAATCTGGTCCAATCCATAGTCTCTAGTATGGTCAGGTATTACAGACATTTTAGACTGATGGTGCCTGATAGAGGAGCCCTGTGCTAACTCACAGATGATACATTGTGTCATAGGGTCAACATTGCAACAATGATTCACATAGCCTCATCCTTCCTGCCTTGCAACTGTTGCTTCTCACTTAGAGGGAGACCCACAAGGAATGAGATATGTTTTCAAGGACCAGCGATGTGCACGTGCTTTTTATAGTTGACCACCTAAAAGATCCTGTTTTCTGTTGCAGGGTTTTTAAGTACTGGCGACCAGGCGGCCAAAGGCAACTACGGGCTCCTGGATCAGATCCAGGCGCTACGGTGGATTGAGGAGAACGTCGGGGCTTTCGGCGGCGACCCCAAGCGAGTGACCATCTTCGGCTCTGGGGCGGGAGCCTCTTGCGTCAGTCTGTTGACTTTGTCACACTATTCAGAAGGTAATAAGGACATCCCCGAGCTGGTGCACGACCCCCAGGGCTGAGCCAGGAGCACACACGGAGTGCATATCTCAGGGACCCTTTGTGTCTCATGCAGCTAAAAATCCCCAACTTGTTTTAGGTTTAGAAGCTCACGTTCGAGAGCTCTCATCCTCCTTCTCCCTCTCCTCCTCCTCCTCCTTCTTCTTCTCCTTCTCCTTCCTCTTATTTTATAGATTTTATTTATTTATCTGAGAGATAGTGAGAGACAGAGAGAGAAACAGACTTCCCCATGAGCAGAGAGCCCGATGCGGGACTCGATCCCAGGACCCCGGGATCATGACCTGAGCCAGAGGCAGAGGCTTAACAACTAAGCCACCCAGGCACCCCCATTCTTCTAACTCAGCTTTCTTTCCTTGGGAACCATATTTTGTCATCTCATTTACATTAACAATTAGATGCCAGTTGCAACACTTGGGACAAAATGGGTCCTTCCGAAAGACCAACGCCTTTGCCTTTGCCTTTCTGACTTGACTCAGTCAACTTTAAATTTTATCATTTCGGTCAACGTTAAATTCAGTCAACTTCTCCTCTCAACTTGGGAAAGGTAATACAGAAGAGAAACAGGGATATGGGTAAGGATTGCAGATTTGTTCATTTAGTATGCAATGGGGCTCGTGGCCATGGGATTTTTTTTTTTTTTTTAAATCACTGGTCTGGGACAACCATATGGCACAGTCCATTAAGTGCCCGACTCCTGGTCTCAGCTCAGGTCATGATCTCAGGGTCCTGTAATCCAGCCCTGCATCAGGCTCCATGCTGGGCGTGAAGCCTACTTACATGTCTCCCCCTCCGTCTTGCTCTGCTACTCCCTCCACTTAAAACAATTTTTAAAAAAATAATTTAATAATAATAATAATAATAATAATAAACCTAACCACCCTAACTCAAGGTGGATCCCTCATGTCCGTTGGTAAACTGTAGCACTGAAGGGGAACCTTGAAGCTCATCTACTCCAAAGCCACCATTTAGAAAAAGGAAACAGAAGCCCAGAGAGGTTGGTTAACCCACCTAGGATCACACAGCAATGAGAGAGCCTGGCAAGAAACAAAGCTTCCCAGACCCCAATTCAAACCATCGCTTGAATTCCCATCGTTCCCCCAAGGCTAACAAACATCGGGGACGACTAAAGGATAGTCCTGGTCTTCTGTACAGAATAGACTTGCCTTACGGATTCAGGAACATCTGTGCAAATTCCCCATTGCCTCCCCTAGCTGGTATTTTATGGACCACTTTAATTTTCCTTAGGAAATAAGCGTTCAGCTTGAGTAGAAATTTTCACTGGTCACGGGCACCAATGTGACAAGTGGATTTTCAGCATAGTACGGACATTCAGAACTCACTTGCCAATAAAATGCTCAGTGGACGGACCATAAGCAATCATCAATCAAATCAAAGCAGACGGACTTGTAGGTGACTTCATAGCGTCTAAGGAGAGCTCGAATCCGGGGCTCGGACTTGTATCATCCCTTTTTTTTACAAAAATGAAAAAAATGCATAATGAGAGAGGACATTGATAATATCCATTCTTACAGCATTCCAGAAAATATTGGCATTTTTCCCATTTGTCAAGGGATAGAATCCCAGATCTCGAGTGAACAAGTAGTCAGGACCGGCTTCCATAATAAACACAAGAAACCAAATGTAACTGGAGAAGAGCATAATTACTTAAATCGAGCAATCAGAAATGAGCGAGCTCTGTGGCAAGGCTAGGCCTGGGTCAGGGTTCTGCAAAGCAGGTTTTCAGAACAACCCAGCAAGATAGAAATACCCAGTCTGTCAGCCTTAGAATTGTACTTCTAGCCATGTCGTCTAAAAAACAGTCACCATGTGCATGAAAAGGGATGTTTTCGTGAAGATGTTCACCATCGCATTATAATTTTTTTAAAGATTTTAATTATTTATTTGACAGGCAGAGATCACAAGTAGGCGGCGGGGGTGGGGGGAAGCAGGCTCCCTGCTGAGCAGAGACCCCGATGTGGGGCTCGATCCCAGGACCCTGGGATCATGACCTGAGCCGAAGGTCGAGGCTTTAACCCTATGAGCCACCCAGGCGCCCCTCACCATGGCATTAGAGCAAAGACTCAAAGGAAGAGCCCCAAGGTTGAAAAGACAAGAAGGTGATGAGGAACAGGTGCATGTGTTCCAAGGAACAGTAATGAGCACCAAGAACCGTGGAGCAGGTGTCCAGTTCCCTGAGAAACACAATCAAAGCTGTACATTTGTTGGGCTCAGTCGTATAAAACAGAACGTTGACGCGGGGGAACAGCCAAGTGAGCCAGAATGACCCTAAAATGCAGACCTAACTTGTATTTTCTGGTCTGAATGACGGGTAGCATTGTCCTTTATCCAATTTTTTAAGGGTTATCTGGGATTGTATTCTATATGTCACACACATGTGCACACACACACACACACACACACACCTCTATCTGTCAAAGCCAATCAGTGTCATAGGAAGAAAAAAAAAAAGGTAACTTGGCAGGAATATTTTTCCTCATCCTGATGATTTTAACTTGTGAAAGTCTTCGATAGATCCAGCGTTGACATTGCTTCTTTCCTGTGTGCCCACACGTGAATCTTGACGGCTAAACACACACGTCCAGAGCTGTACGTCTCTGGGAACATCACCAGCTCTGGGAGACTGGCCCCCAAACGACTTTGATGTTGCATTGAGCAAAGCCAGATCCATTTAAGATCTCTTGGGCAATGCTCCAATCTCCAGAATCCTATCTTCCTGATTGCAATTATGTTTTCCCCCCTTGATTGCTTGCATGACCTTAAAACTCTACAGGCATGACCTTCTGGGTGCCCAGCTGAATTACTCCTCCAGAAACTCCCGAGACATCAGAGCTCCATCATGCTGGAATTCTAGAAAATGTCAGGAAGAGACAAGAAAGAGAATGCTATCATTTCATAGCCCATCATTTCTTGTCCTGCAGTAGTGAAAAATAGAGGGTTTACAAAAAAAAATTTTTTTTTTACTTACATTCATATACTAGATGGATCTGATAGAAATTTGTAAGCTACACAGAAGTTTACTCATCAAACCATCCAATTTTTTTTTTCACTTTTCACCAGACATTTTTTAACTTGTGGCACAATACAAGACAGAAAGGTCTGGGCTTTGAGTTAACATGATTCCGAGATCAGTGATTTGTAGAAAAATACATTTTGGCTGGGCAATCCCACCGAGCATTCTTTTAGGAATCGCTAATTTAATTACTATTTTAGTTGTAAAAGTTTCGCGCCGGTACTGTATTGATGCTGGAATTCGAAATACGTGTCTGAATTTATACTCTGAAATGGATTTCAGTGGATATTTTGGGTGTTTTTGTTTGTTTGTTTTGGTTTTGTTTTTTTTTTTCCCCATAATGAAGTGGTACCTGGTTTAGTCAGGGAAGCAAAATGCACTTTGATGTCTTCTTGGCACAGACCATGTTTTTAAGGAACGGACGAGATGATAAGTCTGTGAGGCTTTATTTACAGCATCTGGGGATGGGAATGCCAACATGAAACAAAACCAGGGACAGATACATGCGATGCACTTTTTTTTTTTTTTAAACCATGGCAGCAACATTGTACATTGTAAATTCAGTTTCAGTTCCGTAAATGCTGTGCGTATGTGTGCTGCGTGCGTGAAGACCATCCCAGAAAACCAACGTCCAGCAGGCAGAGGCTGGGGGGGAGGGGAAGGGGGAGAGAAAGAGATGGAAATGAGGAAAAAAATCCTGAAAGAGCTGAATGCTACTGTATCCAGAAATTCACATGCCCGGGAGACAATCAGAGCTTTCTTTGCGAAGTAAAAGCTGCTTTTCTGTCTCTGGGGTTTTCATTTGCATGTCTACAACTTTGCACCTGCAGGTCTGTTCCAGAAGGCTATCATCCAGAGTGGCACGGCCCTGTCCAGCTGGGCGGTGAACTACCAGCCTGCCAAGTACACGCGGATATTGGCAGATAAGGTTGGTTGCAACATGCTGGACACCACCGACATGGTAGAATGTCTTCGGAATAAGAACTACAAAGAACTCATTCAGCAGACGATCACCCCCGCCACGTACCACATTTCCTTCGGCCCCGTCATCGACGGCGACGTCATCCCGGACGACCCTCAGATTTTGATGGAGCAGGGGGAGTTCCTGAACTATGACATCATGCTGGGCGTCAACCAGGGGGAAGGCTTGAAGTTTGTGGACGGCATCGTGGACAACGAGGACGGCGTGACGCCCAATGACTTTGACTTCTCTGTGTCCAACTTTGTGGACAACCTGTACGGCTACCCGGAGGGGAAAGACACGTTGCGGGAGACCATCAAATTCATGTACACAGACTGGGCCGACAAGGAGAACCCGGAGACGCGGCGGAAAACCCTGGTGGCTCTCTTCACGGACCACCAGTGGGTGGCCCCTGCCGTGGCCACGGCCGATCTCCACGCCCAGTACGGCTCTCCGACCTACTTCTATGCCTTCTACCACCACTGCCAAAGCGAAATGAAACCCAGCTGGGCAGACTCGGCCCACGGCGATGAAGTGCCCTATGTCTTTGGGATCCCCATGATCGGCCCTACTGAACTCTTCAGCTGTAACTTCTCCAAGAACGATGTCATGCTCAGCGCGGTGGTCATGACCTACTGGACCAACTTCGCCAAAACCGGGTATGTGCTTCCCACGTCAGCTTCTTTCTTCTCTCCTAGTTTGTCTGGGTCCCCCATACGAGTGCGGCTCCCACGACTGAATGCAGACATGCTCACGCGCACACACCCGATAATGGTGGGGGAATTTTACTAGCGTGCTCCCTGCATCACTAAAAATAAAAGCCTTTTTCCCACCTGCCGCTTCAAGGTGGAGACATACCTGGCAATTCTGTTGCTCTCTGATCCCACAATTTCCAGTCTCAGTAGGACCTCTCTCCTTCGACAAGGAGATAAGGACCTGATCTCCCTGGGCAGCCTTATCAAAACCCATGTGCCGCATGGCAAACTCTGCTTCTAGTGTACCCACGAGATAAAGCCAATCTCTTAATACATCTAGAAAATACTATGTGCTTGTATATACTCTATATTTAATCAGACATATACGTATATACATGTAGAGTGATTCTCTACAGTTATGAGACTTGTTGCCTATACATATACATATATTTACAAATATATTTATTCACTTAAATATGTCCTACACATTTATTTCATAAAAAGACACATTTCATATATATGTGTGTGGGTGTATATATATGTACATATAGGAAATAAATCTATATAAATATATAGAATACACCTAAAATATTCACAAAGTGATACAAATAGATACATATATGTATCTACATGTATATGTATATATATGTATCTATTTGTATATGTGTATATATATGTATCTATTTGTACATATATAGGGAAGTATAGAAATATATGTCATTTAGATATAAAATATATACATAGTATATAAATATGTGTGTATGTGTATATATATACATATACATAACCTCAGAGGGAAGCTCTTTGGTTCAAGTTAGTGGAAATCATACACGACCCACGCATACAACAGTTCCCACCAACGTCCCCTTGAGCAGTGTCTCTGTAAACAAGGAGACAGAAAGACTCCCCGACATTTCAAATAGCAGCAAACCTCATATCATCTTTTCATTTTTCTCTTGTCTAATAACACGATTGTGGAAACTAATGGGCTGTCATTCTCCTCTCCGGCCGTCTCTGCTTCCCTCATTAACTTTGAGCCTCATGCATGGAATTCACCTCAGAGATGCCCACAGCTCCGAGGGTTGGAGGAGGTCCCCGTGGTGTGCCAGGCGTCGCACTGGGGCTCCCAGCCAGCGGCAGCCCCACAGTGCCCGAGCCTTATGCAGCTGGAGACACAAGCTGTGGGGACACCATAGGCGTCCATGCTTACTTAGGGTTCCAGTGGGTGTCATTCTTTACGGAGACCCCCCCAATATTCCCGAGCTACAAGCAGTTCCAGAATATTTTGTCGTCTTAGCAAAAGTACGGCGTGCTTATAGAGTGGCAAGTGTGTGGCACGGATGCACACTTGGAACTGTCAGATGTGACGAGTTTGGTCTAAGAAAGGCTCGTTTGGGGGCGGGGGGGAACAGAGGACGTGTGGACCTTTGGGAAAGTTGCTGTCCTGTCACCTGAAAATTCTCTCTTGGACAAGGACATGACTGAGGTCACGTCCACAAACATTTTTATACCATCCTTGTTTTGCATTATTGTGCCATTCCTGCGGCTCCTAAAACTGGGTACTACAGACGGTGTCGATTAAAACCACAGAAATATCTTGCCTCAGAGTTTGGGTGCTGGAAGTCTGAAATGCAGGTGTTGGCAGAGCCAGGCTTCCTCTGAAACCTCTACAGGAAGGTTTCACGCTACTTCCTAGCTGCTGCTGCTTGGCAGGTGTCTTTGGCGTTGCTGTCCTGCGACGTCCTTCCAATTCCTGCATCTGCCTCCCAGGCCAGGCCCCCTGTGTCTCTCTGTCTTTACCTGCCCCTCTTTTTAACAAGGCGTCGGTCAGATTGGCTCTTAGAAGTCCCACTTTCTTCGTCCCATCTTCACTGATGCCATCTGCAATGGCCCTATTTCCAAATAAGGCCACATTCTGAGGGACTGGGGGTGAGCATTTCAGCCTGTGTTGATGTCAAGGGGGAACACGTCAAACATCAGCCCTGTGAAAGGCAGTATGTTGCCCGGTTGTGTCACTGAACTCAGGTATGGGATGCCTTTCCTAGCTAAGTGTCACATTCTTGAACCAGAAAGCCTCACAGGGCCACTTCCCAAATGGTGGCCAGCCCGTTCACGGACACTGGCGTCCACACATAGCACTCTTTACGACATACCTAAACACACTACCGTTGCCTACCTTGGTTAAAACCACATACTTTTTTTCCTTACATGTTTGGAGTTGAACTTCCTGTGACTTTCTTAAATGGGAAGCGGGGATCCATTCATCACCCGTGTAACTGAACCATTAAAAAACTGGTAAAATCCAAACAAAGCCATTAAATTCTCATTAGAGCCTCTCGCCTTGCCAAAGGCTCTGAGGCCAATGCTCTTGTGCTGTATAAAAAAGAAAGAAAAAAAGATAAAGGAAATTAATTAATGTCATGAGATGGGAAAGAGCTCCTACCACCCAATGGACCTTTTTCACCAAGACCTATCAAAGACGGAGCCAGGATTAAAAAACACCACAATGTTCCATGATTGCGTGCTATTTTTAATGCCCTCCATGCCCAAGATTCTACTGGATACTGGTCCCCAAATTTCAAGTCTCTGTGCCTAGCGCCTTATTGGGAACTAGGGTCATTCATTGCAGATGGAATCAGTCAAGACATCATGGGGCAGGTAGGACTCTAAGCCAATCTGTCCGACACGTTGATAAGATGGCCATCCAAAGATAGAGACATGTAGGCAAGTTGCCACAGAATGTCCTGAGTGGGAGTATCTCGCCATCTGTCCATCACAACACGTTGCTATGGGGAGACGAGGACATGGCGTCAGGACACGCATCCCCATTCTCGTTTGGTGTTTCTTCCAATCTTCTGCACCTTCCAGATACCACGCATGTTCCTTAGTGCTCACACATCAGACCAGGCAAGTGTATGCTGGTGCCACTTGTCATACAACCCAAAACTCATGGCTGTGACTTTCTGTCTGGGTTTTAATGTCTACATTCCATGGTCTGTTTGTCATTAAGCACAGAAGAGTTGTGTTGGGAATAGAGCATAGGAGGGAGAGAGGAAGGAGAGAGGAGAGTTCCTTAGACCTAAGAGGCTGTTTCCGTGATCTGGGTTAGAAGACTCACCCAAAACAGGGCTGGGAAAACAACAGCCTACTTCAAGACAGGTACTAGTCTACAAATATAGCTGATGTGGAAAGTTCTGATCAAAGAGAAGTAAAAAACTAAAATGAATTCCAAGGTTTACAGAGCATGAGGAAGAAGTGCCCTCTGTGTCATCTACAGTCTCTTTGGGAACACGAGACCCAACCGGTCCGTAGAATCCAGGTAGTCATGGACCAAACACTGATTTGGTTTGCGTCCTGTGTGGGACGTGCCAATAAAGGGGACACCAAAGGAGACTTGATCTCTATAGAACACATTGCAACAAATAGCGTTTGGGACAACCAGATGAAGCTTTGTCCATCAAAGGTCTTACTGAAATGGTATCAGAGTTGAGAGAATGGAAAGATGGTTCTGGCATGACCAAAGCAACTAACACAGATTTCAATTCTTGGATTTGTTCTCAGGACATCAGTGTCGATCTGCCTCACAGGCCATGACTTTCAATTTTGTTGGTTATCCTGGGATGAATTTGTATTTAACCTAAAGCGAGAGGCACTTAGGGTGGATGGCTTAGGGAGAGCTGCAGCCTACATCTGGTCTTGAAATGACCTTTCCTGCCAAAACACAATTTAAGCTGAATGAAGGAACATCTCCACCTGGTGTGTAGGGGGACATGTATCATCGGACCCATTTTCTTGGTACGTAATGGGTGGTCTTCTTCTGAGAGATCTAGTAACAGAGAGTCAGCTACTACATTATGTTAGGTGGAAAGGAGACCTTCCACCATCAAGAAGAGCCTCTCAGAGAGTTTACCATTATTTTAAAAGAAATCATATTGCCTATCTCTAGCAAATAAAATGGATCACAAGAGCTTAGAAATGCACTTGACTATTCCCTGCCAGAAGGATGTCCCCAATGATGACAGGTGAAAATGTGTTTCAGGTGCTGGGAAATGGAGATACAGGTATATGCATTGGGGATTTTACTAGGGAGAGAAGATACATCTGTTTCATTCTATTCTTAATCATTATGATCTTTAATTTTACTTATGGAAATTAAAACATGCCGCTGGTGGAAGTCAGGTCTAAAAAGCAAGACACTCATATCCCACTTAGAGGTCTTGCTGTGTTTGGAGAATTTGACAAGGAAAATGATGGACTTTCCTGAGCTCTGTGAGTTTATGTTGGGTTAAGGGGTCTGACTGTGCATCTCCAAGAACTTTAATAGATAGATTGTATCAGGCTAAAGCTTACTTATCTGGATTTTCAAAATCCTCTGCTCTATTCTTTGAGAACAAAATAAACGTGTTTCTTTACCTTTCAAATGCACACTGAATTTCATCAAAAATAGTCCAATATCCAACATGAACAGAACGCGCTCTTTCTTAGATGCCCCCTGCTTAATAAAAGGTCCACACAGCTAATAGACCCAACTCAGTGAAATCAGATCGATGGGAAAATAGTAGGAATCCTTACCACCTTTCTTTGCTTTTAGAACAATAAAAATCAATAACAAATGTTTCCATGGCAGATTCCAATTAAACAGTAATTTTTTCAAAAATTTATTCCAGAAGACTCAGAAAAAGGAAACATGAGGTGCTCTATGGAAGCAAACATTTTTATGAAACATTGTAAGAATTTTAAAGAGATAAAAAATTTATTTTTAAATCTATTAATGCTTATAAATGAACACATAAATAAGAAAACTCATGACATGGGGACCTATAATTTTGTTTTATTTTCTTAATCCCATTAGTAAAATAAAAGCACTGCAGTGAGTGTGTCTTCAGTTAAAAGGTAAAATTTTTCCTGTATACCACATTTATAATTATATCTATATATCATATATAGATATCTATATATATAGTATATTTTATGCAGTGTATACTATGGTATACAATATACTTTCATACAGTATATATTGTACTATAAAACTACCATAAACTTTTATACAGTATATACTATATGTAATATACGGTATACCAGATATACTGTGGGATAGAATATATACTATATGTGCTGTATAACATACAGTATATACTGTGGTATATACTGTGGTATACAATACATGCTATCTATAGTACAAAATATACTATGGTGTATGTATAATTGTATACAATGTATACTATAGATAGTGTATATGCTGCGATATACAATCAAGACTATGTACAGTATATAGTATGCCATATAAACTATAGTAGACAGTATATACTATTCACAGTATATAAGATACTGTGGCATACAGTATACTTTTATACAATGTATACTATAGACAGTATATAATATACTGCATATGCTATTGTTTATAGCATATGCAATATAAAAATACAGTATACCATTCAATAAATATTATGTAGAGTGTGCCACATATACTGTGGTGTACAGTACACTTTTATCAATGTATACTATAGACAGTATATCTGTATTACATATGATATGGTTTATAAATATACAATATACAAATACAGTATACCATATATACTATGGTACACAGTAAGTACTATGTACAGTATACAGTGACCCTCATATATTGTGGTGTACAGTACGCTTTTACACAATGTATTCTATAGATAGTATATGATATACTGCCAATGCTATGATTCGTAATATATGCAATATACAAACACAGTATACTGTATATACTGTGGTATACAGTCAGTATCATGTGCTGTGTATAGTATACCATATATATTGTGGTATACAGTGTAGTTTGATACAATGTATACTCTAGACGGTATATAGTAGATTGTGTATGCTATGATTTAGAATACAATACAAATCAGTATACTGTATATACTTTGGTATACAATAAATATATGCAGTGCATAGTATACCGTATATACTGTGGCATGAAGTGAATACTATGTACAGTATATCATGTACCTAACATACTATATGTGCTATGATTCATCATATATGCAATATACAAATACAGAATACTACATATACTGTGTATACAGTCAGTATCATGTGCTGTGTATAGTATTCCATATATACTGTGGTATACACTATAGTTTGATACAATGTATACTATAGATAGTATATATATTAGGTTGTATATGCTATGATTTACAATATAATATGATATATATACATATATATCTATATATATACACACATATATACACACACATATATACATATATATTATATATACAATATAATACAATCAATATACTATATATACCTTGGTATACAGTAAGTACTATGCACAGTATACTGTGTACCTAATATACTATGTATATGCTATGATTTATAATATATGCAATATACAAATATAGTATGCCATATATACTGTGGTAAACAGTAAATACGTGCAGTGTGTAGTATACCATATATACCGTGACAGGCAGTAAATACTATGCACAGTATACCATGTCCCTAACACACTGTATATGCTACGATTTGTAATAAATGCAATATACAAAGATAGTATACCATATATAATATCATATATCATGCGCACTGTATATACTATGCTGGATATACTGTGGTATAGAGTAAATATGCACAGTGTATAGTATACCGCATATACTGTGGTATACAGTAATGTGCACATATTTATAGTATACCATATATATTGCAGTATAAAGTAAATATGCACAGTGTATAGTGTACTGTATATACTGTGGTATATAGTGAATATGCACAGTGTATAGTATACCATTTTTACTGTAATATACAGTAAATGCCATGAACATTTTATAGTATACCATATATACTGTGGTATACAGTATCCACAGTGTATAGTGTACCGTATATACTGTGTACACAGTAAAAATGCACAGTGTATAGTATACCGTATATACTGTAGTATACAGTAAATATCTGAAGTATATACTATGGTATCCAGTAAAGATGCACAGTGTATAGTATACCATATATACTGTGGTACACAGTAAATACCATGAACAGTGTACAGTATACCGTTTATACTGTGGTATAAAGTACACTTTCATCTGGCAAGCACTATATACAGGATATAGTATACGGTGCGTGCTGTGGGTATTACAGTATAATACTTTATAGTCCTCTGTCCCTAAGCAATTTTTAGATATTCCACTTTACATATCGGCAGAAGGGGACAATATTTATTAAGCTGTCCCTATTTGCCCCACACTTTGTAGTGATTCCTTAACCTCCATCACTTACTTCCAATCCCAGTATTCTCACCCATTCTATAGATGAAGACGACAAGCCCCAGAGAGGCTTACGAGTTTGCTCATGATTTCACGCCTGTAAAGGGGGACAGCTGCAGAGCTTAAGGCATGGAAATGTTTTTGACAACTTCATACTGAGGGCAAAGGTCCCTCCCTTAGCAGACGCTGCCCCCGTTGGTCTCTCTATTGTTTGCATCCCACACAAGGCAGGGTCATGTGTGTGGACTTGGGGTCTTCAGGGAGGATCTTTGGGTCCCGCAGTCTTCTGCGATGTGAGCTGAGAGGCAGTGGCTGGATGTGGGTTTATAAATGGTGCCAAGAAACTGTTGCCTGCAAAGCAGAACTTTGAACACCCAGGGCAAGCAACATGGGCATGCCAGTCCCAGCTTGTCCTGGCCCCTCCGTGATGTCGGAATGCCCAGGGCTGTCCACCACGTGACATGGTGCTGTGTATAACCTCAACGTTCTCGAAATAAGTAAACATTAAGATGAAGTACGTTTTTATACTTCGCTGGACCAACCCTAAAAATAAATGGAAGAAACGAGAATATGATATGTTGGGGAGGTTGGTTGTTATATTGAGAAAATCGGTGGCAAAGATGCTTCAAGTACCACGTGCTGTGCATTATTCTTTAATTTTGATGATTCTCTCTCTGCCTGGGATCACTTATGTGAACAATAGGAAAAAAATCTCAGGTTCTAAAGTTGGCCCGGTGCACTTACCGTCTGCAGAACCCCTCAGTTTCCGGCACTGAGTGTTACTTCTCTTAAACACGTTAACCTCGCCGTATCTAAAAGTGTGATCTTATCAAGATGCTTAGAACTAATGGAATATGGTTTGATCTCGACATGGCTCAGTCTTCAACAGGTTCTCAAGTATATGAGTATCCCTCTTTCAGACAGAGAGCAAACACATGACGTCTATTATACACTGACTCACATTTTGCAGTCATAAAGCCTGTTTTTATTTGACTTTTAACATACATTTTACTTATTCGGCCTCCAACGTGTATTCCTCTACTGCAGACACCACTCTTGAGCAAGAAAGGGAATGCCTACTTTTTGAACAATGGCCTCCAAGTCAGGATTTCTGAGCCTCAATACTATTGACATTTGTGACAAGAGACTTCCTTGTGGGGGGGGGGCTCTTGGGCACGGGAGAATGTTGAACAGTGCCCCCAAACCCTCCACGCATTCATGACACTTCCCTCCACCTACAATGACCAAGTGTCTCCAGACATTGCCAAATGTCCCTGTGTGGGGGGAAAAATTGGTTCAGATTTATGGCGCAAAAGTAGGTACACTTAAAATCCTATAAAACTTCCTACACCCATTTTTTTTCACCTTTTCCTGGTTGAAGAGCATTTAATCTTCTCAAAAAATAGTACAGATGTTAGGGAAATGCCGTACGTCCGCCATCAGGAATGATGTTTAACATCAAGGGAAGGGAGAGGATGTTAATGAGAACATAAAATGGTGAGCATGCGTGGATTACAGTCGAATGAGTCTGTGGCTTCTCGGGTCCCTGGCGCTCATCGGTAAACAGGTGTGGTTTCCCGGTTGTCATTCGCTGTGGTATTTGATGAGGAGGTTGACTTGTCCCGTGTCGAAGAGTGTGACCTTTCTCTTTTCTTCTCTCTTCTGTCCCCAGTGACCCAAACCAGCCTGTTCCTCAGGATACCAAGTTCATTCACACAAAACCCAATCGCTTCGAGGAAGTGGCGTGGTCCAAGTATAACCCCAAAGACCAGCTCTATCTGCATATTGGCCTGAAGCCCCGAGTGAGGGATCACTACCGGGCTACCAAGGTGGCTTTCTGGCTTGAACTAGTTCCCCACCTGCACAACCTCAATGAGATCTTCCAGTATGTGTCCACAACCACCAAGGTCCCTCCTCCCGACATGACTTCATTCCCCTATGGCACCCGGCGGTCTCCCGCCAAGATCTGGCCCACCACCAAACGCCCGGCCATCACTCCCGCCAACAACCCCAAACACTCCAAGGACCCTCACAAGACAGGGCCCGAGGACACCACCGTCCTCATCGAAACCAAACGGGATTACTCCACCGAACTCAGTGTCACCATCGCCGTGGGGGCCTCCCTGCTCTTCCTCAACATCCTGGCCTTTGCGGCTCTGTACTACAAGAAGGACAAGAGGCGCCACGAGACGCACAGGCGCCCCAGTCCCCAGAGAAACACGACCAACGACATCGCTCACATCCAGAACGAGGAGATCATGTCGCTGCAGATGAAGCAGTTGGAGCACGACCACGAGTGCGAGTCCCTTCAGGCTCACGACACGCTGAGGCTCACCTGTCCCCCGGACTACACCCTGACCCTGCGCCGGTCTCCGGACGACATCCCACTCATGACAGCAAACACCATCACCATGATTCCCAACACACTGACGGGCATGCAGCCGTTGCACACGTTCAACACCTTCAGCGGAGGACAAAACAGTACAAATCTCCCCCACGGACACTCGACCACTCGGGTATAGCTTTGCGGTTCCCTGCCCCGCCCTCGGCTCCTCCCCACCGAGAGAGGGAGAAAGAGAGAAGCAACATCTCCCTGCGAGGAATGTCTGTCATCCCACTGACTTAGGACAGAAACAACCACCACCACCACCACAACAGAAACGCCGTGGGGCCGCCATCGTGCGTGTCCCCCGCGGACCCATCCCGCTGGCATTTCCCAGTATTACGAGATCAACTTCTGACCCTGAGAAATGTGAAAACGATTTCATCACCGTTCCAGGACCACGTCAACATCCCCATCTCTCCAGCCAACGATCAGCGTGACGAGGACATCGCCCTCTCAAGGACCTCGGTGTTTCCAATGCAACGAGAGAAGCTGACCCTTTGGGAACTCAGCCAGGGACACTTAAACAAGAAAAATAAAAAATTTTTTAATTACAATGGAAAAACAAAACAAAACACAAAGTTCTTTATGTGCCATATGACGGATGGCTCTACGGAAGGATTGAAAGACGGTGGGCTTTTACCCTGCCTATGGAGCTGTGATCCAGAGAGAAGGAGAAGCAGAATTTTCCTATTAAAAGAGCAGACTCTGTAGTAACATACCTATAGTTCTGTGCAAACCTGTTTTGCCAGCCTGAACTATATTTAAGAAACTTTGTAAAAAAAAAAAAGGAAAAAAAAATTGTATATAGCTGTGAGTTTAAACAAAAACGCACACAGAGGGTAAAACAAAAACAAAACAAAAAAACAGCAACAACAAACCAACCAACAAAAAAAAGCTTTTATTGGTGTTTTCCGTTTGAAAGAGCTTTTACCGACATTGTGGTTTTCATTGTGGTCTGTATGTATATATATATATATATATATATAAATATACACATTAGTCATTCACCTCTGTTTCCTCCCGGACGCAGGACGATTTTCTTCTGAGTTCCTTGCGGTGAGCCATGACACGGGGCTTTCTAACGCGTTTCCTTTGCAGGAGGACGTGGGGACGTGCATCAGACCCAGACTGTCTGCGCGGTGGGGCTTTTTCCCCCTCTGTGGGGTTGCACAGATGCATGCAACAGCGTTCTTAGGAGACTGCTGGTTGGACGCCACTTTTATTTTCGGGTGTGTGTGTGTGTGAGCCTTCCTAAAGTTGCAACGCCGGGACGGAGCCCCCGCGTGGAGTGTATTAAAACCTGCTGAATGAGAAAACACGCATGCCCAGAGCGCCGGCAGGAGGAACAAAACACAGATCTTGGTCTGTCGTTGGGGTCCTTTGAATATGTTGAGGGAGAGTCGTGAAAAGGAAAGTTGCCAAAAGGGAAAGAAAGCTTGCCTTTGGTGGGGCCGTGCCCTGCCGAGTAAATACGGCTCAGTGTTCCCCCCGCAGCTGCAGAAGGCTTTTGTTTAAGCAGTAAGTCCCTTATTTATCAGTGAGCAAGATTTTTTTTTTTAATTCTTTCTATCATTTATCGGATAAAACATACGCTTGTCCGAAAGACCTGCCTTTCGTGGGCTTGTGTGTCACTCACAGATCCATGAATATGGCAGAGAGGAGACAAACCCACAGAAAAGGGTAGAACATTGGAAGTGCTCTACATGGGTTTCCCGGGGAACTCAGGATAGCTATCCCCATCCAGGTAAGAAATGCAGGTTCCTCACCCATTTTCAATGGGCAAGCTGGGGACCGGAGATCGGCCCTCCGACACCTTCCCATGTTCCCACTGTCCTTTAAATTCCCCTGAAGGCATGCTTTGAGTGTCCCAAAGCGGAAGGGACAGATAGCCGTGGCGACTCTGCCGTCTGCCTTTCAAGAATTATCACAACATCGGGAAATAGTAGCCAAAGATATTTGAAAATACTGTCTCGAAGGGGGCTGTGTTGGAAACCCTGGCTTCAAAGTCCTTGCCGAGTTGGGGTTGCTCCACAAATACAGCCCAAGGTCCTTTCGTCCCCCGGCCTGGCACGACCTTTGCAAACGGACACCCCCCTCCATGAACACGGTAGTGACCTCCACCGACGCGTTCAAAGACGCCCTCTAGAAAAAGGCAGTCCTTAGACATGCCTACAAGGGACACCACCCAACCTGCCATTTCTCTGGGTTTAAATCCAAAGAGGGGTGGTTCTCTGTACAAAGGTGTACGTGAACTCTCTGAATCCCGACTTTGCACACGGTGAAACCACACTCCTTTCCTGCAGCGAGGGGTGTCCCAGATACGAGTTCTGTCCCCCAGTTCCTCACTTTCTGAAGCTGTCGTCAGGTCATTTTCTGCAAGATCCATATCCCCCCTCCCTCCCCCAGCTGGGTATGGCAGGTAGGCTCTCCGTGAACCGACGTGGGAAGTGATGCTTCGCATCTGTGTGGGTCCGGTATGTTTGTAATGTGAATTCCAATATTTGTTTAGTATTTCCAACTGTCTTCTGCTAGCAATATGCACACTAATGTGTCAGGCTTGTGACATTTGGATAAGGAAAAAAAAAGAGTTCTTGTTAAGTGAATAACTTTAGCTTTTACAGAGGATATGATCAAAAGAAATTTAATACATCTTAAGGGATATCTTATTTCTACATGGAAAGAAGTTATAGAATCTTCATAGAGTTCTATGAGAATAAAATATACTTGCTATCTATAAAAAAGTGAAAAAAAGAGGAAAAAAATGAGAAAAAAAATCAGTAAAAAAAAAACCACACAAAAAAAAGAACCTTTCCTAGGCTTTTATTCTTGACTTTCACAGGCACGCAGGGTTTAATGGTTTCTTGGGTTATTATTTTGCAATTTTGTTTTTGATTTTGCCTTAAGTAATGATAGAAGATATATATGGCTGGACACATATGTATAAACTTTTCAGCAGCATTTTTAATAATAAAATATCACAGTATTTTCTAATGCTTTGTGCAAATAATTGTGCGTCCGTTCTTTTGTTGTAGGTGGTCTATTTTATTGACTTTTTCTTTTCCCCACTCCGACTGCCCTTTCCATCTTCAGAGCTCAGTGGTTCACCAGACGGAGACGGACCCATGCCACCGGTAGTGCATGGGGTTCATGCTGTGTCTCCCGTGCACAATGTTTGTGTCATCATGGGGGACGTCCTGCCTGACTCTGGAGGGCCAAGGAAATCCTGCACAAGGATGCTGGTTTCCCAAATATGTCTGCATGGCAACACTGGGATCCATGTCGTCTCCCACTGCCCATTCGTTCCCTTGGCACTGGGTTTGGCATTCTAGGCGACCTCATCAGGCCCTACAAGCTTTCAAACAGCCCCTGTTGAGTAAGTCTTGCAGGGACAGAAATTCAGAATAAATCTCCAGAGGCAGAAAATCTCCACCATGCCAGGGAGAGCAAATTTGCCAAGTGCTCACTCACGATGCATCTGGCCATCTATCCCCTTTACCCATCCCGAGAGCCCCCAGGGACAGGCACCTGTGTTACCCCTTTCTGAAAGCGGAAGGAGTTGAGAGTCAGAAACGTTCAGCCGCTCAGCAGCTGAACTTGGGTTCAAAAGGACAAGGTGGGCTTCCAAGCCCAAACTCCACCAATAAGACAGCAGGAATCCCTACCCCATGGGCAGGCGTGGTATCACGAATTAGCCAATTATCACATAATTGATAATTTATCACATAAAGAACCCCAGCAAATCTGTGACTGTTTGTTTGAACTCGGAATACTTTTATATATGGATTCAGGCCATTTGTTGTGTGAGGCAAACAGGATATGGACATTACATGTCATATATATTAATACCATTTTAATAATATATTCATTAATGAAATTAATGGAAATAATGATATAGTTCCTATTATATATTATAGTGTATATAATAATATATAAGCATACTCTAATAAAATGTGTATAATAAATAAGTATATTCAATATGAAAACTGATATTAATACCATTTAAATAATATATTCATTATTAATGGAATTAATGATATATTTCCTATTATATATTATTATAATGCATATACTAATATAATATATAATCATATTCTTTATAAAATATGTATATTATATATATATTCCATATAACATATGAAAACTGATTATATTATTTATAATTATAGAAAGTAAAATATATGACTTTTATTAGATTTAAAGTATATCAAAAAATTTATATATTTAATATATATTATAATATAAGTTTATTTAATATATACATAAAATATATCATATAACATATAATCTGTAATGTATATAGTTTATATGTAATTATATAATATATAATAATACATAATATATAAATGAAATAAATATGTAAATAATATAAATTATAGTTTATATAATTTTACCTTTTATATATTATATAATATATAATATATAAACTTATAAGTCATATAAAAATTAATATCTATAGATTAGATATATTGTATGTGAGTATATATATTATTTATATATTTTATAGGAATATATAAAATATGTATTTTATATATTGTATAGAAATTTTATACATGTGAATATATAATATATATATTTCTATACAATATATAAAATATGTATTTTATGTATACACGTTTCTATATTTATATACATATTTTTTATGTGGCACATATGTATACACTACATGTATTATACATGTGAATATATATTGTCATGTATATATGTATATATAATATATAGAATGGAAATGCCATTTACATGGATTCAAAATTGAAAAAAATTAAAAACTTAAAATAAAATAAGAATGAATCATTAGCGAGTCTTAGGTAGAGGAAGTCGCTGTTTTTCCACTGTTGGATGCATTCTTGACCGTTCTAACTTGGAAAGTGCTAAAAATGTGTGCATTCCCTCATTCAACTGACTCCCTCGGTCATTTATTCAGCCAGCAAACCTTTACCCAGCATGACCATCCTCCCAGGTTGGAAACACTCTTTCCATCCTGGAACCGGGCATGGAAGACAGAAGTACGGGGACCCCGTGCCTCCAAGTTTAAGTGCGCGTCCATGGGACTCAACAGGGATGTCGAGTGCTCAGGGAGGTCAGCCGTACACCTTGGGACTGAGAAGATGGGACATTTGGGGAACCATAGCTTTGTGGTCATAGCTGGAGAGGAGATGGTGTGTCCAGGAAAGGGTGCAGAACAGCATCGAG